TAGTCAAAAACAGATTGTAATGATACAGGGATTACAAATTTTGAGTTTTTAGCAAATACTTATTTCCTTTCTACTAAAATTTAAAAAAGAAATGAGATTAATGTTATGTTTTTGCATAAAATATAGGCTGAGGAGTGAGGATATATCTAAATCAATAGAAATGACAGGCTATAAGAATGCTTTTTGTGAACAATACAAATAAATAACACTTTCTAAACTATTCCGACATTTGTATGCATAGAATAGAATAGTATAAATATTGGAGCAAATATAAAAAGATAAAATATCAAATTATCTGAAAAATAAGAAAATGTTTTCGTTTTCCTTCAATATAATTACTAGAACTTTGAGCCCAAAATTTTAGACAGGGTATCGTTATAAAAACCACTTTTAGAACCCGGGTTTCACGAATGGGATTAGGCAGTTTTGTGGATATCAATATTTTTGTTATAAAATATTATTTTATTTAGTTTCTTCATGTTCTCCATTTTTTTGAATCTCTTAAATCAAAATCTAACAAATGTTAAGACCCCAAAAAGGAAACTCGAGAGATTCGTTCAGCGATACTCTTTTAACTTTCAGGCTCTGGCATAGACTCATGGGGCTTAGTGTAACTGTACACTGAAGAAAAACCTGCGAATTGTGTATCAATATTTTCGCGGATTTCCTGAAACTGTAGGAAATAGTGATAAAATTAAGACAAGTGTGAATGTGTTGATTTTCTTTTTCCAATTTTACTAATCTATCAAGTCTAACAGAAAAATCCGCAAAATTTTGCGTTTTACAAATAAGAAGAAATTAGGTGGTTTAACATTTAAACGCCAAAACTGTTAGTAAAAAGAGTAGTGTTTAGCGCCTTAAAAGCCTGGTATATTAGAAATATAAAATGAATTTAAGTTTTCATAATGTCTGAAGTCTTTTTATTTCATATTTATACGGATATGAAACATAAAACTTCCCTTTTATCTGAAAACTACTAGAATCAGTTTGCTGCACAAAGTTTAACAATTTATTTTCTAAAACTGTATAACGAATATTCACCTATTGTTTACATTTCACGGGAATATGAAAATGCATTAAATAAAAAAATTAGACAGGAAATTCACCAAATTAAATCTAAATTTTCATTTGGCTTTTCTGTATGTTTGCTTTTATCCAAAAATCTCAAAACGGCTAATTGATCGGGTCATTTAGGAAAGTTAAAAAAAAAAAAATTAAAAAAATTTCAACAGAAAAACATGTTTACATGTTTATAAATGAAAAAAAATCCGCGAGAAATTTGATTATTGCAGAGAAGGATTCAAGAGGACGACATAAAAAGTAGAAGTTAAAAGATTAAACTGGGGAAAGATTATAAAAGCCTCAAAGCCAGGTAATATTAATATAATCGAGACAATACCGTAAATAAAACTGAAAAGAATTATTCTCAGGTGTTTAAAGTTTGAGAATTAATGTCGCGTAGTTATATTCAGAAAATTTAACAATTAGATAAAAGTTTGTTTGAAAAGTTCGAAAGTTTAACGTTTTTACCCAAGAACACCAGCACCCCCTCCTAGAGTTTCAAATAGGGGGGGGGGATTCAGTTTTAATCTTTTTGTGCACAGCTTAGGATAGATTTGTTAAAGTTCAAAACTTTGTTCCCGTTTCTCTGTTCTAACCTTTCCTTGCCTTGTCCTAACTATATATCAGAGTGTCCTAACTCCATCTAACAATGTCCTAAATGCTATTTCTTAATGTCCTAATCTAATGTTAATAAAAGTTATAACGGGAAAATGAATAAAACTTTGGGAGCAAAATTTAAATCGATCCAGATAATTTCCCATTTTGAAATTTTATCCTAGAGAGTCAAAAAACATTGAAAACGTTCAAAATATATATAAATATGCAAATATTTGATAAGTAAAATACAGATTATTTTCCATCTTTATCCACTCCATGGCAGCAGGAGTTGAACAAATATATATCCCATCAGACAAGAGAAAAAATTTAAAGACGTAAATATATTCTATTTACCAGATTATCAAGAAATTGAGTCTTTGCCACAAACTGAGATTTTCTACCCCCTATATCTATGCAACCTAATGTCACAGACCTTTGATATTTCCAAATATCAATTATGGTACATAAAATAATAAAAGTTTGAAATATAACAGGTTGAAAAGATGCAGGGATTAGAAAATATGAATTTTTGGCAAAAAATCAGATACTTTTCATATCCCTAGATCTTTGCCACCTGATGGTGTAAACCTTTGCTTTCAAACTTAGATCTAACAGAATTCATAGTTTGAAATATCTAAAAATATATAGCGTATACAAAATCTGAGTTTGTGACATATATGCTCAATTACTTTCTGGGATATTACAATGTAGAGGGGTATCATGATAGTTCAAGGCCCCGCTTCCCCAATTTCGTCAGATTCTAGATTTACCCTTTCCCTTCTTTCCTACCCCCCCCCTCTAGACATATAGGATAAATAGATATAGTACTTGCTCTACATCAAAGAATGAATATGTAAATAGTAAATATATTCACGTGATATAAATAAAAAGTCAGCAATTATTTAGTAAAAATAATTCTTTTAAAGAAAAAGAACGAACATTAGAATTCCCATTATCCTGCTATATCTAGTTTTATATCTAGGATCTAATAATATCTAATGTTTATTTTCAACCTTATTCTAATCTAGCCTCTCTAGCGGAAACTAAACTAAATACTTCACCATAAATATCTAGGATCTAATAATATCTAATGTTTATTTCAACCTAATTCTAATCTAGCCTCTCTAGCGGAAACTAAACTAAATACTTACTTTAATCTAAGATAATCCATTTGTTTGGAAAACCAATACTAGGTACTCTACATATATTAATAGGGCTGTTTATATGGGGGAATTTAAAAACGTTATTCTACTCCTAACATACTATTTTTCATCCAAAATCCAACTATTTAAACTCGAATTTTCATAATGTTCAATTTTCAATTCAATTTTCCTTGAAATAAGAAGAAATTGTTCGTCATCCAGTCTTGATGAGCTAACAAGGAACAACGGCTTATCATATTTTTACATTCTTTTAACCATGATTAATGCCAGATTTGCGTAAATTCTATCTTTATTCGAAAATCAGTGGTGCGACTTTGGGACCTCGTAGCTCCTCTAGTTTTGATTTTACGCACAAGTATGAGAGAAACCTTCGTCTGCTATTTTTCCTTATTTCATTTTATACATCACTTGTATTTTGATCCAGATGTGATAGGAGTTAGATCTTTCGTGTTTTCAAAATAAAAGCACCTCTTACAAATATATATTTAAGTATAACTATTTGCAATATCTTATCACCCAAATGAAAAACTTTAAATTAAATTGATAAAAACCTTAATCATGTAAATATATATATTTATATAAATATAATATATATTAATCAATTGAAGGATTATTTTTAAATATTTGTGGATTATAGAAATATGTAAATAAAACATGATAAAAGAATTAAACTGCTGCTGAAAACAAGTGCTATACAGTTCAAAAATGGCTAGGGCTACACAAACTATGGTTAAATAAAAGGCCAAGACGTTGCGACACTTAAAAACCGACCCAGTCTTGATGCAGTGATGCAACTATATAAGTAGCAGTCTATATTCATGTGTAGTACACACATCGCATACAATTACATTACAAATGCTAACAATTCTATAAATAGGGGGTATTAGTCCCAAACCAGGAGTATATCCCTTAATCATTGTATGTACAATGTATTTGTAGAATAGGCCTTTTGGCACAGATCTTATATTCATCTGTAATCTACCAAATACTTGAAAACTCATTATAATGTATATATTGTATATCTCTATATATATATGTTTATTTATATATATATAATCTAAAATATATACAGAGGAGAACATTCCTCATTTGTTTCACTATTTACTAGCCGGTAATTCCATAATGATATTTTAAACAGTTGGAGCAAAGTTGGAATTGAGTCACTCTCCACTAAAACCAACTATTTCTTTATGTCAGAATACTGAAAATTACTGCAGTGAACAGCGAAACCTTAGTTGAAGAGGAAGTCTTTGCCAGAAACTCAACTTTCGAATCCTTCTCTCTTTACTACGTGTTGGTGTAAACCTTTTTGATAATTACAACTTAGATTGTTTGATCCAACAGAATTTATAGTTTGAAATATCTAAGGTTGCAAAGATATAGGGATTAGAGTTTACATGGATAAACTACTTGATAATATTGATGGAAGTGTTAACGTTATCTGAAGTAAAACTTTATATCTTTGAAATATTCATGTTACCGAAACAAAAATGTATAATTGAAGTGAGGTGAGGTCAAACCAAAGGCACCTGACATCACTTCAATGTAGGCCCGGTCTCAAAATGTGAATGCATCAATTTAATAGGTCGCAGATAATCCGAATGGCGTGGAAATATTTTTCCGTCAACGATGCATAAATATTTAGATAAAAATTGTACTGATATAAGTCGTTAATAACACTGTTTAATCTGGAGTTTACATAAAATTACACTTACTATCCCTTTCAAGGAAAATAAAAAGATGTATTTAAAAAATTATAAATTGAGCAGATATAGAAAACAATTCATATCTAATGTTTTTTTTGTTTACAATCTCTAATTGGTTAAATTAACCAATTAATGGGTTCGAATTTAGCCTTTACGTTTTTATATTCAATATTTAATATGATTATTGGTGAAGGGTTTTATAAATTCTAAATAAATAATTCAATCTTAAAACCATGTTGTTGTGTATGGAACCAAAACTAGATTGGAAAATATAATTCTCCGTTGACAAAAATCTGACGGATAACGGAGAGAAGAAAACGATATTTCGAGAAATTGTCCGCTTCTCTCCGCCCTATCCCCTACTTCATACATACCTGGAGATCTTAGATTAGTCCCACACCAGTTTATATATCTGATAGGAGTATCACATCCTTGGTCAGGATTCACAGATTCACGTATATAGTTTGATTACCCGGAGCTGAATCCTGAAGGTTGGGTTGGGTCCTGATCAGTAAGCACACTACTTAAAGCAACTGCAGCTTTGAAAGGTACGGAGTAGTGTCGGCCCCGCCGGTGCGAGGTCTAGGTCCGATTGGATACCCATCCTCCTGTCAAACCCCTAAACTACACACTGAATAGAGGAAGAAAAATTTGAGTTGACCCATGAGACAACATTTCTAAACTAACTTTTGCATGAATGAGAAAATGCGTATGTAATCCCGAATTCCCTGAATATGTAGTAATGGGAGGATGAGTATATGAATGAATGCAGTCATTATACCCATGGGTATAGTAATGTCAGGAGAAATGCATGAATGATTGAATACGTGGTAGGAAGGATGAATGAAAGAATGAATGAATTTGTTGTATTGGTAGGATAAATGGTAACGTAGTAATGGTTTGATGCATGCACGAAAAACTTTATTTTTAGTAATGGAAAAATGAAGGCATAAATATGCATTAATGGAAGGGTAAATACCTGAATGACTAGATATGCAGTAATTGCAGGACAAATGTTTAATTGTGCAGTAATGGAAGGATAACTCCGCGTATGAATAAATGTGCAGTAATGGAAAGATAAATGCATGTATGAATTAATGTGCAGTAATGGAAGGATAAATGCATGTATGAATTAATGTGCAGTAATAGAAGGATAAATGCATGTATGAATAAATTTGCAGTAATGGAAGGATTAATGCATTTATGAATAAATTTGCAGTAATGGAAGGATAAATGCATTTATGAAAAAATATGCGGTAAAGGAAGGATAAATGTATTTATGAATAAATGTGCAGTAATGGAAGGATAAATGTATTTATGAATAAATGTGCGGTAAAGGAAGTATAAATGCATTTATAAATAAATAGGCAGTAATGGAACGGTGAATACATTTATAAATAAATGGGCAGTAAAGGAAGGATAAATGCATTTATGAATAAATGTGTAGTAATGGAAGGGTGAATGCATGTTATGAATAAATGTGCAGTAAAGGAAGGATAAATGCATTTATGAATAAATGTGCAGTAATGGAAGGATAAATGCATTTATGAAAAAATGTGCAGTAAATAAATAAATGCATGACTGACTAAATATAAGGAATGACTAATTACTAAATTACTAAATTGCATACAATCTAGAGTTTTTCATGGATATATTCCTTTTAAAGTACCTTTCTAACTTCTCTTAAGAAACTTATTGTTCTTTTTTATTTAGAAAAGTTACGACATAAATCACTTTGATAGCGATCTTCTTCTTAATAAAGATTTATTCTATAGTACTGCGGCATTTGATGGAAACTGAGCACAAACTTTGCAAATAAATATTTTCCAAGTTATGGTCCGAAGAAAAATAAAGTGGTTTATACATAGTTAATCTGGAGACAGAATTAGACAAACAAGGAGTCTCAATAAACTTGGTTAACCCTATCTCCGCTGGGGTACTTGAAAACCAGGATACGCTGGGGGGGGTCAATTTGACCCCCCCCTCTAAATCCCATGTTTTATGTCCAAATATGACAAATGATACATCATTAGAAAGCTCTTGTGCTCTACTTTTAGAATCTGCAAAAAAATTTGCAAATTTGCGAAAATTGAATTTTTTATCGCAAAATCTAGTTTTATAGTAAAAATGTTTGCAAAAAAAAATTTGTCCAAAATATGACAAATTATACATTTTTGAAAAGCCCTTGACCATGCCATTTCAAATATGCAAAAATTTTTGCAAAATTTTAAATAACCTGATTTTTAATCAAGAAAAACTAAAAATGTGCAAATTTCCTTTGACAGGTTGTTTGCAAAAAAATTGCAATTTTTTTTTCGCAAAACTTGTGCAATCTGTTTCCTTATGTCATAGGCTTTCCAAAAAGCTAAATTTTATCAAAATCTGACAAGTGAAAGTGGGTCAAAACAAAGATTTAGTTTGCTACAGGCAAGAGCAGTCATTCAGGCAGTGTGCCTGAGGACTCAGGCAGTTAGTATTAAAGCCCGGTTTTAGGCCTAAAGGGAGGGCTTTGGGTATGTAAGAAAAGTCAGAAAATTTCAACAGACTCAGACCAATACTTTTTGAGTTATGTAAAAAAAACTACAGGGGGGGTCAAATTATTCCCCCCCCCCCAGCGGGAATAGGGTTAAGGAGTCTCAAAAAACTTGGTTAAGATCTAAATAGTCAATTATTAAGAAGATTAAGTTAGCTTCAATGTACTGTTGTTGTACTTTTAAGTGACCCTCCATTTATAGAGGGGCTGGCCAATTCACAACGGTACCCTTTTAAATCTTGATCTGATAAGGAAGTAGAGGATATCCTCGATTTTATAGCTTAAAAAGATTTTAATTCTGATAGTAGAAATCCGCAAGCCAATTTTATAATTGAAGATAATCATTTTCAAAGTTAAAACAAAGCTTTTAAGTAAACAAATAAATTTAATTACAAACAATAGTCATCGATTATTTTTTCGATGCATTCGTAAATAGTAGACATTTCATAATATTTTGTATTTTTCATGATCTGAGAGTTACTGTAACCATCCCCACCCTCCACCCCTCCCTGCTGAGGATGGGTATAGAACATGAAGGAAAATTCTTCAGGACAAATGGGATGGTTACATTACTTTTGAAAACATTTATTCCTGTTTCGAGGATTTTTGATAATGAAGACGACATTTTCATATTTTCCAGGAATGTTCGAAAATCCAACGCCAGCGAAAATTGTTTTAAAAAAATCAAAAATATTTTGAAATATTAACTACGAATGCGTCGAAAAATAATCGATGACTACTGTTTGTAATATCTGAATGATTTGTTTGGAACTAAATTGATTTGTTTACGATCCGAGTTGAATGTTGCATCTTTCCGAATTTGTATGGACGCTGCGTTCTTCGGTGGGAGTCGTTTTTAACAATTTTCTCCTTATAGACTCAACAGATAGAAGTAAGATTAGTAGCGATCTAAAGCGCTTTTTTATCGCATTAAGCCTATACCCCCTTTCATTTTTCGCGAACACTCCCTTTAAATCCGAGAATTGATGGCGTATAACTTGTTCGCCTTTATTGTAGAGATCCAAGGATCTCTATCCAGAAAAAAAGCCAGGTTGGATGTTGAGATGGATAAGTTTCCATGATAATTCGTTTAAAATATGTTTTCAATGAAAAATTAATCAACGTAACTGAGTTTTTGCCACAAACTTTAAAGATTTCATCTCTATCATATCTTTGCAGCCCAAGTCGTCGTTATAAATCTTTGTTTTAAATATAAGGTGGTGTTCACTATTAGGTTGCAAAGATATAGGGATTATAAAATTTGAGTTACTTTTTCTTGAATATGGTTTACAAATTGATAATTCAAGACGACCACAAAGTCGCTAGACGACGGCAATTCCAGTGATTTTTGTGAAAATGGGACAATGGTGGCAAAGTTCGGACATTTTATGCAAAGTATTTGACGTTTTTGGTCCCCTTTAAACTTATTCATACAAACAATTCTCACAAACTCTATTTCAACCAGCGATTAAAGTTAATCATTAGGTCTAAAACCATTAAGATCTACACTGATACAGTTGAAGTCTCTACATTGAAGGGCTAATGATAAATGTTAAATGAAGGTTAGAAGATATATTCTCCCAGCTCTGACATGATATGAAGAATATTCTTTATACATGTGTAGGATCTCATCACTATAGTTAATGTTCCAAGCAAACATATTTAGAGCTTATAGCCTCATGGAAATTACTCAACATTCAGTTTTCTCTAGAACTCATAACGCTGTGCAATAGACCCAGCACGTTTTTCACTTAAGCTTGAGACTTTTTAACTAAAACTCCGGACGTTTTGCACTAGAACTCGAGACGTTTTTTACTAGAAACATAGGACGTTTTGCAATATCAGTTACGACGTTTAGTACTAGAACTCATAATGAGAACTAAAACTTAGGATGTTTATCACTAGAACTCAAAACACTTTTCCATTTAAGTTAGGACGTTTTGAAAATAGAACTCAGGACGTTTTGCAATAGAAGTTTAGTACAATAACTCATGATGTTCAGCACAACTAGAATTTTCCCCCTAGATTTCAGAACGTTTTTTCACTAAAGTTTATGTTGTTTAGAACTTAAACTCGGAACATTTTCCGCTAAAACTTAGAACGTATAGTTCTAGAACTTATGACGTTTATTTCTAGAACTCGTAATGTTTTGCACAAGAACTAAAAACATTTTGTTTTGTACTAGGAGTTAGAACGTTTAGTTCTGGAACTCAATATGCTTTTCCCTTTAACACAGAACACGAGCATGACTTTCCTAATCAGGAACAATATTTTCTGCTCTGGAACACAAATTCTTCTGCTCGAAACAAGATTTTCCTGTTTAGGAAGAACGATATTCTTCTGCTCAGTTGAAATATTGTCTGGAAAAAATCTTGTTTAAGAACAATATTCTCCTGTTCACGGACAAGATTCTCCTGTTCACGGACAATATTCTCCTGTTCACGGACAAGATTCTCCTGTTCAAGGACAAGATTCTCCTCCTGTTCAAGGACAAGATTCTCCTGTTCAAGGACAATATTCTCCTGTTCACGGACAAGATTCTCCTGTTCAAGGACAAGATTCTCCTGTTCAAAGACAAGATTCTCCTGCTCAAGGACAAGATTCTCCTGTTCAAGGACAAGATTCTCCTGTTCAAGGACAAAATTCTCCAGCTCAGTAAAATAAATGCCTAGAAAAAGATCCTGTCCAAGAGCAAGATTTTTCTGTTTAGGAACACAAATATTCTCTTGCTCAGTTAGAATTGTCCTGTTTTGTAAACAATTGTCCTGCTCATTAAAAAAATGTCCTTCTAAGTAAAAATTGTCCAGCTCAGGGACAAGCTTCTGATGTTCGGGAACAAGATCTCCTGATCAGGATTTAGGATTAGGATTTATTAGTTTCAGAACATAAATTTCAGTTTAAATTAGGAAAATCAAAAGTGCAATATCAATAGAGGAATGGAATTGATTGAGTATCCTTCGACTGGATAATCTTTAAACAGCAATGTCAAAAATACGTGTTTTTTTAAATTGCTCAAATAGGAAGTCATGCATGAGTATGAAACTGCTGA